CGCGATGGCACTCCCGAGGGCCTGTGGGCGGGGCCTGTGGGCGGGGCGGGGCCAAGGTGGCACGCGTGATGGGCTGTGGGCGGGGCTAGGGGCCGCGGTAGCGCGCCCAATGTTGGCGGGAAAGGGGGCGGGTCCGGGGGACGCCCCCTTCCTCCTGGCGGGAAGCCCTGTGGGGCCGCTGGGAAGGATAAATGCAAGAAAAATAAGACAAGTCCTTGCTTTCCCGGTGCAAAAATTCTAGGGGCCCTCAGCTGACTTTAAACGATGGAAAATCACAAACCCAGAAGCTTCTAGTTGAGTGTTATGCTTGGCAAAGCTTGAGTCATGACACTCAGATACCAAGCTCTTTATTCCTAAGAAAGTTACCTTCTTTTGTCCTCTCTTCTCCCCAGCTGTGGAGAGTTGGAGTTGAGTAAAAATAAGGAAGGTTTCTCTTAATTTTAACTAGTTACACGTCTGCTCAAAGGCATGTTTAAAAAGTTCTGGTTTATTTTTAAAATGTTGGAGGGGAGGAAGAACTATTCCTCTACCCTTCTAGGTTTTTCTAGCTGGTCTAAGAATTAAATTGACATGAGACAGAATAACAGGAGAAAAATCAAATGAATTTGATAACCTGTATAAATGGGAGAACCCCAGGAAAACTAACTCTCCAAAATGGCTGAAGCCACCATCTTAAATACCATCTTGAGCTAAACACAAAAGAAGATGAAGGAGGTAGTGGTTTGGGACTTCAAAGGGGAGGAAGCCAATTCACATGGAAATGGAGAAGCAAATGTTTGGTAAACAAATGTTTGCTGGGCCATCACAGAGATAAATTTGATAAAAATAGGCCTTGCTAGGTGCTTTCCTGTGTACCATACCTAGAGTTATCTATGGTGATAGCTCCTTCCTGGGACAGGCCTTTAGGCAGTTAGGGGGAAGATCAAAGTACTTTCTGAGTCTTTTGTTCTTAAAAATAATCAAGCCAAACAGACACATTTTGGGGTGGCAAATTCTGATCCCCCAAAATATGATTGGAGTAAAATTTCAAAAAACTTTTTTGTTTGTTAAAGAGTGTCTACTTTCTTCATAAAGATCTTTTGTTGATCACCATATTTTACAGATAGCATCTACTGAGCAGCCTTTCACCTTCCCTATCCAATCCATTGTCAAATCCTTGCATCTTCTCCCCTTTCTTTCAAATCGACCCACATTTCTCTGTCTCCACTCCACAAGAGGCCCGTTGCCTCATCTTTAGCCGGCTTGTTGGTGGTATCCCTGTCTAGCTTGTATTTCTGTGTCTGCCCAGGTCCCCTCCAATTGTTAGGCCACGCTGTAGCCATCTAAAACATTTCCAAATCAAACAGTTGGTTAGTAGAAGCAAAATGAGTAAAACTAAATAAGGTCTTAAAGAGTATTTTAACCAACCTATTAAACTAATCAAATATTTTTTTAAACTCAGAGGCAACCAAGAAGTTAATCCTTGATTATTAACCCTGTTAAGCCACTGCTTACTCTTTGCAGAGCCTCAGAGAAGTCAAACTCTAGTAAACTTAAAATGTTAAATAAAACTAGGAGAGATGCTATGGTGTGCAATGGAATAAATTGGGGATTTCAAGAGCCAGACAGTCCCACTTCTAATCCCACTTTCTCCACTAAATAATTGTGTGATTTAAGTCAAGGCTTAAGTTCTCTGAGCATTTGTTTCCTTATCTGCAAAACGAAGAGAACAATATTTATCCTGTAGATTTGGGGGATTATTAAATGAGATAAATTTTAAATGACTCACATCAGAAGAATTCAATAAATAGCAGCTAATATAAAGATGATTATATATATAATCAGTACTGTTAATGCTTTACTTACCATAGAATAATATTGAACTTTTTTATTAGGGCATAATTCTGTGATAGAAATAACTGAAAATTTCACGTTTTGGTAAAATGCTTTGAGGACCAAACAATTGTTACTGGTCTATTTGTACCATGCTATTAAATGAATTACAATGCTGGCACAATAAGTTCTTTCTCCTATTAGCTTTCTCTTTTCCTTTCCTCCACCATTGCCCCATTACCTCTCTCCAAGGCTCATGAAATTCTCTGCAGCAGTTTGATGGTGGTCAGAGCAAACTCATCAAGAGCATAAGCAAGATTATTCTCCATCTGCAGCTTCCCCGTCCATTTCCTTCCTCCCCACCCTGCTCTGCTACAGCTCAGGTGGCTGATGATTTGCTTTTAGTGGAGATGGAATATGTGTTTTTGAACCAACTCTTCCTCGTGGCCCTGGATCCTGAATTTCAAGAGCCAGTTCCTTCTCCCATGTCCATTTATGTGTGCAGGTGAAAGATGGGCAAGCCATCCGGGATGAGGTACACCAACAGTGTAAAATCCTGGAGGTCTGCTCCCAGAGAAAAACTTCCCCAGGGAAATCCAGTCCATCTATAGGGTCTTGGTAAAGCCCTAGCTTAGAGCATTAACAGTATCCTTTCCCCACTTTAAAAAGGGCTAAATGGTATCTTATTTCTCTTTTGGTTTCCCTGGAAGGACCACCTGAATACAGCAAAGTTTAGGTTTGTTGTCCATTTCACTCCTACTTTATTCTCTTCTTTCAGTTAATAAGTATTTCCCAGTACCTTAGACTCTTTCAGAATTATCCATTCTACCCTGGGGGAGCGCTGCGGTCCTGGGGGGATTCTGAGGCATACAAATTGTCTTGCTTTATCCTATTTACCCATCCTTCTCTCTCCATACCCTGCCCCCATTGCTTTGATTATCATCTGTAGTGTTGCTATTCAAAGATGACCTGGATCTCTTTCCTGATCTACTGCCTCAGTATAATGGTTTGTTGAAAGCAGTCTAAATGCTAATTTTTGTCTTGTGTGAAGTATTTTACAAACTAGTAAATCTTTCTCATATTCACTTGGATAAACATATATAACAAGCAGAATGGGTCATAGATAATATCCAGACTTCGCTCCCATGGAAGGTGAAGATATCTCCCACATTCAGCCCATACACTCATTCTTCTCTGGCTTTTAATTATGGTGTCGTGCAGTGGGATCAACTACTTTGACTTTTTTGAGTGCATTCTCTTTGTCAGATATAAATTTTATTTGCAAGGACCTCTATGAGACCTAGAGATCCCTCCCCTAAAAATGCAGTTTAAAAACAATTGATGAAGAGCAATTGAATGCGGTATTTGATGGAGTGGAACAAATCACAGCATCTAGGAGTGTGGTGGCCGCTCTCTGCATGTGACTGAGCTAGCCTTCCTATGTGAAAATGCTATTAACCTAAGTTAAAGCCATAAGCTTTGTACTATTTTTTCTGGGATCTGATGTGGCGCAATGACTAAGTGCATAGAGCTCCGGAGTCAAGCAGAACTGGGTTGTAGACCAAACCCTGCCATTTCCTAGGATTGCATCCATGGGCCCGTTGTTTAACCTATCTTGGAACTTAGTTTCCTCTTTTGTAAATTTAGGATTAATGTATACCAACCTCACACTCTTAGGGTGGTTGCGAGAAAGGAATTACAAATTATGAAACTGTTCTAAACCAGTAGTGCAGCACAACCAAGGGGAATCCCTTCACAATAGGCTGTACTGAACTTTAATACATAGATTAAAGCTTAACTCACAATAAGCCCTCAATACGTTTTTCCATTTTGGGGACTTGTTTTAGCATTGTTGAGTTGCACTAAGCCAGTTATACTTGCTTTAAAATTCTCTTATGAAAGCGTACATATTCTGAGCAAGAAGGAGCCAGTCATTCCATGACTATTGGCACAGAGATACCTGCTATAGAAATTCCTTTGCAAATATGATGGAATAACTCTGAAAGGAAGCTTGAATTCTGTCTGATGTTCATAATTTCTTTTAGTATCATCTCAAATAAAATATCCACTGGATTCCTAACACCATCCTTGGCATGATGTTCAGGTATGATATTGAAAATCTTTATGGTTTTTGTTCAGTTAACTTGGAGAGCTTTTTTTTTGGTGAGGAAGATTGGCCTTGAGCTAGCATCTGTTGCCAATCTTCCTCTTTTTGCTTGAGGAAGATTGACCCTGAGCTAACATCCTCTATTTCGTATGTGAGTCGCCACCACAGCATGGCTTGATGAGTGTTGTAGGTCCGCACCTGGGATCCCAACCCACGAACCCAGGCCACCAAAGCAGAGCGTTGAACTTAACCACTACGCCACTGGGCCAGCCCCTTGGAGAGCTTTTGTTTACAACATTTCATTCTTCCTTTAAGAGCAAAAAACAACCTCAGCAAAAAACTAATCAGTACCCACCACCCATGGATGCCATAATGATTAATGTGGACCCCCTCTTGATCAGTACAGTTGTGCATAGATGTATTGATTAAGTTATTGGCTGCATTGGATTGTACTGAACTGTTTTGACATGCTGCAGTCTCTTTGACCTGCCCATAGAGACACAGTCTCAATGTCACAGAGACCTTGGCATATCCTGAAAAATTACCCAAGTCTCTAGAAGCATCTAGATCTTTTGAGATGGCTTTTGAAAGGAGGTTAACTCCATTCTTGTGGGCGTCTGCTAAATTTCTGTCACAGGATCAAAAGTAACAAGTCTAAGGACATAGTTACATTAATATGTCCCTACAGCAGTGGTTTTAAAGGTTTTGGTATCTTCTGTATTTCCTGGTCATTTATCAAGTTCTATCTGACACAGATATTTCATTGGTCATTGTTTTTTGTGC